TTATCACGATGTTTTTCGTCAGTCGATAACGCGTTAGTGAATAGTAGTGTTTGTTGCGTGGCTCAAACGAAATCAAAAATGGCACATGTTTACGAAAATGCTGAACTTGTGGACATGATTCTTATTTACGGGGGGGCAGTCTTTACAAAATGCTCCCGGATGCATCACGGATTTATGCGAATCGGTTTCCCAATCGAGTGCAACCAACCCCTCGTTCGTGCCTTTGTTAATGTAGTACAAAGGGCTCGTGAATCAGGTGACTTAAGACCTCACAGGTCAGGGCATGCTGCTCCAAGACCGCACGATCAAATACAGGTCCGCACTGAAATACTTGTCGGGACGATACTTTATTAAACAAGGTAACATTTTTTTTTATTTATTTTTTTATTTTTACACACATATTTTGGTTTATCTTCCTTCTACAATCATTATCTGAAAATTAATGACTCAACTTCAAAGTCACCCTGTATATATATATATACAGGGTGGCCAAACACGTGACGTCATAAAAAAAATTAGATTCCCCACATCGAGGGGAACCCAAATCACCCCCATATATATGGTCCGATTTTGTTTAGTTTAGGAGTTATGATTTTTTTTCGGATTTTTCGAGAATTTTTGAGTTCTGTTTATTTTTACCATAACTTCGTTAATAATTGTGATAAATGCCTGCTTTTTTCACGATCATGTAGCTAAGACCTAAGGCTTAACTATCATATAATCATTCAAGTCATGTAACTAATACTACTTTTTAATTTTTTTCAAAATCTTCGAACATAACAAAAAAGTAAAAAAGTGCAACAACTTTGAACGTTTATAAAAAATTAAAAAACATGTTCTTACTATTCGTAAGTATCTTAAAAACTTCCTTACGGTATCAGCTATTTACCGTAAAAATTTCATCAACCTAGCTTTACTACATGCTACCGTAATTGTGGCTCAAATAGAACCGAACCCAAAATTGGATAACCCTCTGCTCAATAGAAATTGTTAGTTTCGGAAAAAAAATTTGCAAAAACCACAAAAACACGTTTGATTTTTACTGAACAGCAGATTATTATTCATTTATGTTATTTACAAGAGGTTTTCAAAATGTCTGCCTCTAACAGAAATGCACAGTGTACACCTACGTATGAAATTTTGTTTTAAATCTCTAAATGCTTGTATGTTGTTTTTCAACACATGTGTCGCTTCTTGAATTTTGTTCCTCAATGAATTTTCATTTGCACATTCTTGGGCGAATGTTATGTCTTTAAAATATCCCCAAACAAAAAAATTATACGTTGCGTGAATATGCAGAAATGCATTATTATTATGGCGTTGCTCAAGGCAACGGCGCTTTAGCAGCTCAGCTGTACCGGGAACAACTTATACGCCGAGGCGGACCACAACCTGAGCATTACCCAGACCACCGTGTTTTTATTAACACACATAACACTTTCATGGCAGGCCGCATTACAGGACGAGGAAGCAATGAAGGATATCCTACAGCTGATCCGGATCGCAGAGAAGTAGTACTTGAAGAAACTAGCCGGAATCCCTCAACGAGTACGAGATCTATGGCACAAAACCTTAGAATACCACGAACATCGATACAAAATATTCTTCATGAAGAAGGTTATCATGCCTATCATGTTCAAAGAGTTCAAGCGTTGATGCCTTCAGATTACCAGTTAAGAGTGGATTTCTGCGAGACAATGCTGCGAAGACAACGAGAGGATCCCAATTTTTTTGATAAAATTTTATGGACTGACGAGTCACGTTTTGAAAGAACAGGGATATTCAATATCCATAATTTACATACTTGGGCTGTTGAAAACCCCCACCAGTCAAGGCCGTCGACATTTCAACACCGTTTTAGTGTGAACATGTGGTCAGGAATATTCAATATGGAATTTATCGGTCCATTTGAACTGCCGTCAAGGTTGGATTCGGTAGCCTACAAAAGCTTCCTTGATAATAGCCTACCATTATTGCTGGAAGATTCAAGCCTGGAAGCCAGACGGAACATGGTGTTCCAGAATGATGGTGCACCATGCCACAACGCAACGATCGTGCGAAACTACTTAAACGAAAGGTTCCCAGACAGATGGATCGGACGAAACGGACCGATACGATGGCCTCCACGCTCCCCTGACCTCAACCCCATTGATTTTTTTGTTTGGGGATATTTTAAAGACATAACATTCGCCCAAGAATGTGCAAATGAAAATTCATTGAGGAACAAAATTCAAGAAGCGACACATGTGTTGAAAAACAACACACAAGCATTTAGAGATTTAAAACAAAATTTCATACGTAGGTGTACACTGTGCATTTCTGTTAGAGGCAGACATTTTGAAAACCTCTTGTAAATAACATAAATGAATAATAATCTGCTGTTCAGTAAAAATCAAACGTGTTTTTGTGGTTTTTGCAAATTTTTTTTCCGAAACTAACAATTCTATTGAGCCGAGGGTTATCCAATTTTGGGTTCGGTTCTATTTGAGCCACAGTTACGGTAGCATGTAGTAAAGCTAGGTTGATGAAATTTTTACGGTAAATAGCTGATACCGTAAGGAAGTTTTTAAGATACTTACGAATAGTAAGAACATGTTTTTTCAATTTTTTATAAACGTTCAAAGTTGTTGCACTTTTTTACTTTTTTGTTATGTTCGAAGATTTTGAAAAAAATTAAAAAGTAGTATTAGTTACATGACTTGAATGATTATATGATAGTTAAGCCTTAGGTCTTAGCTACATAATCGTGAAAAAAGCAGGCATTTATCACAATTATTAACGAAGTTATGGTAAAAATAAACACAGAACTCAAAAATTCTCGAAAAATCCGAAAAAAAATCATAACTCGTAAACTAAACAAAATCGGACCATATATATGGGGGTGATTTGGGTTCCTCTCGATGTGGGGAATCTAATTTTTTTTATGACGTCACGTGTTTGGCCACCCTGTATATACTTGTAATGTCACGTATTCTTGTTAAGAGGTGTTAGATTAGGTCAAAAGCAACCGATTTTGTCCTATAATGTCCTATCCAGAAGTTAACCGTTTTTGAGTTATTTGAATTTTATTTTTTATTCCGATTGCAGACGGTTAAATTTGAAATACAAAAAAACTACATATTTGATTTTGAGTTTTTTGTTATCGTCGCATAGCGGACATTCCAATAGTTCATAATAAGTAATAAAATATTGAAAAATAACAAAAGTTTTAAAATTACGTTTTTGAAATGAATTTCTTATTTTTTACTAACTTATTCGATAAAAAATGCAATTTTATGTAAAAAATCTTCTAGTAATGAAATGTGCAAATTATGTAAATAATACCTCTATCTAACAAACCTTCATTTGAGGTATAAAAGTTACAACTAACTCAAGTACAAAGACATACAATTAAAAAAAGATGAGTAAAGTTGTACGAACGATAATTACGTAGGATAAATAAAAGGCTTTCATTTTAATTACAGTTTTATTTGATTACATTTTCTTTAGTATCTTACAGATTCTGCTCAAATTGTAATCCCCTGTTACGAATACACGCCCGCATTCTCTTACGTAATTCACTTTTGGTAACTCTAGTTGTTAAGCGGCTTTTTATTTGGTCAGCTGCACTGATTATCCTTGTAATTAATTCATCGTACACCAGGCTTTTCATATGTCCCCACACATAGTAATCCATCGGTGTGAGATCTGGGCTTCTTGCTGGCCAGGCAATGGGCCCGCCTCTGCCAATCCATTGATTTGGAAATGTAGAGTCTAAATATGCCCGTACTAATCTACTGTAGTGTGCGGGACAGCCATCGTGCTGGAACCGCATATTTTGTTTCGTCGCCAATGGGACGTCTTCCGTTAATGGAAACAAGTGTTTTTTCAAGAACTCTTCATACACTTCCATTTAAATTGGCGGGCAGAAAATGAGGTCCAATTAAATATCCGTCTGTGATGCCCTTCCGCACATTGACTGAAAATCAGCTCTGAGACCCCGTCGGTCTTATTTTTCGGGGGTTTAAAGCTTCTTTATCAGCCCAGTAATGAGCACTATGGTAGTTAGTGATCCCGTCCTTATCAAACTTCGATTCATTGGTCCACAGAATTTTCTTAAAATAGTCTGGATCTTCTGTATCGGCATGTACCTGCAGAAATCTAATCGTCTTGCAGGATCGCCCTCTTCAATCACATGCACAGGCGTGTAGTGATAAGGGTATAATCTTGCAGTATGCACAGTAAACCATACTTTGTATTGTGATATACCCAACTGAGCAGCCACAATGCGCGTAGACGCAGTAGGGTCTTCCTGAAACACAGAAGGGTTTCCTCTCCATCTTCAGGAGGATAGACTCGGGGTCGACCAACATCACTATGTTGCCTTTGATCACGTCCGGTTTGGCAGATGCGCCGATACACAGAGTCAAACACAGTAACATGAGGTGTTCGGCGATTCGGGAAACGTTGCCGATATTCATGGCGGGCAGCTGCAGAATCGCCGTTACAAAGTCCATAACAGAACATTATGTCTGCGTATCCTTCATTTGTAAAAGTTTGCCCGTGCTCGCTATGGCGAGGTCCTGGCGGATCTTCTGCGTCTGCCATGATGATAAAGAAACCACTCGAAATGAACTGGGAAGCTCAAAAATAATAATCGTGCGTAAAACGTGTGCGCGTACGCAGTAGTAGATACCAACTAAACCTAATTCTCACTCGGCGTGCGGCGTTGGCGTAACTACAATGATGAATAATAACAGCTCTCTCCCTCACTCCTCCACTAAGTCAGCTCTTCTTGCTCGCTTCCTCGCCGAGCCTATGCCTTAAAACAATCATGGCATGCGAGTCCTTTGAGGACAGTAACAACTTGTTCAAACAGGTAATACAAATTCCTTGTCATTGTTGTTTCTCTGCATGTACTTCAGATAATTGAACGCTTAATACCTCAAATGAAGGCTTGCTATATAGAGATATCATTTACATAATTTGCACATTTCATTACTAGGAGATTTTTTGTTGACGTAGACTTTGCTTTTCAAATATCCCCATAAAAAGGAGTCCAAGGGAGTCAAGTCGCACGATCTTGGTGGCCATGGCACACTTTCTCTGCGCGAAATCACCCAAGAAGGACTGCAATCGATGGATATTGACGTTGGTTGTGTGGCATGTTGCACCGTCTTGTTGGAAATAAACATTGTCCATATCCATTCCTTCAAGTTGCGGCAAAAAATAGTCCTCTATCATCACGCGATATCGCTCAGAATTGACGGTAACGGCGTCCCCGGTCGCATTTTCGAAAAAGTAACGTCCGATGATGCCTTTTGACCACAATGCACACCACACAATCACTTTTTGAGGATGCATCGGCTGCTCTTGATACTCACGGGGATTTTCGTTCACCCAGATGCGACAGTTTTGCTTGTTTACCGTCCTATTCAAAGTGAAATGCGCTTCGTCGCTGAACATGATTTTTGATGAAAAATTGGCATCAATTTGGCGGTGTTCAAGGAGCCAATCTGAGAACGTTCGGCGCGAAAAATGGTCGGCCCGACGCAGCTCTTGCGTCAATGGGATCTTGTAGCCGTGTACATTCAAATCCTTGTGGAGAATGCGGAGCAAACTGGTTGTCGAAATGCCCAATGCTTGGGATCGACGCGTTGTTGATTGTTTCGGATCGTCTCTCACACTCTCCTTCACAACAGCAATATTTTCCGGTGTGCGAACGCTCCTTGGCCGGCCAGAGCCTGGCAGATTTGCCACAGAACCTGTTGCCTCGAATTTACGCACCAGACGGCCGATGGTTGTTTCGTTTGGGCGGTTGTTGCGACCGAAATGTTCACGAAGCGCGCGAAACGTGTTTTTTTTATTTCTTCACCATTTTTGTAGTGCTCTTGAATAACTTTAATGCGGTCTTCAATCGAATACGACTCCATAGCGATCAATGTTAAACATTCAACTAACAAAATGACATGTCGGTGACAGAAAACAAAAGATGGCTTCTATGTCAAATTGACGTTTACTTTCCTGCGTCCCTATTGGACAACCCTGTATATACTCCACGATAATAGACAATTCACTGATAACAAAATGATTAAGAGCTTAAAAGAATTAAAAAATAGAGATTTTCATACGCTAAAAAAACTCATGCAGATTATAGCGTCTAAAGGTTTCTTTACAAGAGTACCTCTTATTATTATCATTAACAATTAATCAAAGTACTCTTTTCCGCAGGATGAATAATTTGATTATTGTTGCCTGTCCCCATATGATTATATTGTTAGTGAGGTGAGAATAGACCAGCGCGTAATACATATCTAAGAGCGAATTTTGATGGATGCTAGGATTCAGTTTCAAGATTGCAAAATAGGCACTGTTAATTTTATTACAAATGTTATTTATTTGTGGTTGCTAGCTTAACTTGCTATCAACATGAGTTCCTAAGAACTCCGTTTGACATGAGAAACTAGCAATATCGATGCGTGGTTTCTTATTGAAGAAATGAATCTGAACAGTCTTAGAGCCCTTTCAGACGAGGATACCGTATGCGAGATACGCGTATCCGAGATACAGATATTCCATACACCCAAATCGAACCTTTCAAACAGCACTAGCGACGCATTCAGTATCCCGAACGCAAATTTCGGTATCGCTCATCTTTCGGCCGCCGGCGACAGAATGCGTATGCCGCATACAGAATTATCATTATATTATACGGAGCTGTTCAGACACGCATACTTTTTCATCAGTGAATACGGTAGAACATAGTCGTTGGGTTTTTCTTATGTTAGTAGTAAATGAGGTTAAGAATTTAATTGGACGTTAATGTAATACGTATATGTATATAGAAATGGAACGTGCAGTCTTTGATAATGAAAAGTTTATAAGTTTGGTGGAACCAAATCCCTGTTTATGGGATACAGCGCACCCAGATTATTGCGATAGAAATAAGAAACAGCAACGCTGGGTGGAAATTGCCAAACAAATGTGCGACAATTTTGAGGAGATGACAGCAGCACAACAGAATGAATATGGTAAGACATTAAACATAATTTTATTTTAAATACATATTAGACTATTATAAGTAAGTAGTGCAGGCTAAAAAGTTTACATATGGGATTATTTTCATTAAAATTTATTGTCCCAAAAATACTTAGTTCCTATAGATATATTTTACTATATTTTAGTTAAAACTAAAACACAATATAATTTAGACATAAGAAACGAATATTTCAGAAATATTAGGAATAAATATAAATTTCAAAATTTCAACAGCACTAGTTCACATGATACAACTATTCTGCCATGGTAATATATCAGTATTCATGAAATAGTCAGCAAAATAGTCACGAATAGCAGTCACTGATATAGTATTCCAAAAGTACACTCAATATATCTTCGTGCTCGAGTTAACCGGTAATTATGTATTCTCTTTTTTAATGTCAGATTTTTTCCACCATATGGCCCCATAACATTGAAGGATAAACCAAATGCTTCGTCTCCAACAATAACATATGGGATTTTGTAATCATTCTTTTGTGGCAAAAAATCTGGATTGGGAAGATCTAGCTTTTTTGAGCTTAAGTTCTTATAAAAATGTGAATTCGTAAAAATGCTTGAATCACTGTTATTCCCATAATCTCCAATATCTACAAATGTGAAGCAATAATTCGCGTCACACATCGCCAGTAGTTGTATTGAAAAAAAATGTTTATAGTTAAAATAAAGAGAACCACTATGTTGTGGTTTTATAACCCGGATATGTTTTCCGTCTATGGCACCCAAACAGTGTGGATAATTTGCATTTTTCAAAAAACCGTCTGCGATTTCTAACCATTTTTCTCGTGTGGGCTTTGGTATACATTGTTCTTTCATAAATATCCAAATTAGCTTGCATGTTTCCTGAATTATTTCGCTCGCTGTTGAAATTCCAACTCTGTAGTTATAATGTAGCTCAGTAAGGGAGCAACCAGTCGCCAGGTACCTGAAAATAATTAAAAAAAACTTGTTGAATTTTTCAGGGAAAGATCTTCAAAAAAAATGGAAGGATTTAAGAAATTCTTTTGCTCGAGAGTTGGCGAAAAGAAAAAAGAAAAAAGTGGTGACGGAGCTTCTTGGAAAACTTATATATTTTTTGAACAGTTATCTTTTTTGATGCGATGCTCTTCAAATAGAGAGTAAGAAAATTTAACTTGTCAAAATATGAACTACTAAATTAATACATTTGTTTTAGGACCACTTCAAATTTTACAGAGGAAAATCATACAATCGAAGAAGCTTCGGATCATGAACAAAATGAGTATGTTACTCCTTTAAGGCCTATACATGTACAGAAAAAAAGGAAAGTGGCATCGGAAACCGACCATAACACTGAGATAGTGGGCCTATTAAAGGCAAATCTTGCACAGCGACAAACAAACGATATTATGCTAGACAATGACGGAGACCGACATTTCCTTCTTTCGCTACTGCCGGACTTTAGAAGAGTGCCAATTGACAAAAAGATGGATGTGAAATTGGCAATGATACAATCGATAAAATCTGCCCTATTACCCACTCAATCTGCATTTAATTACAACCATGTACATCATTTGCCGTTTTATCCATCCGCTCCTAATCCCCCTTCTACACAACATCTTCCTATTCATAAGTCATCATCTTCACAAGTGCACGTTTATGGTCATCCTTCTTCCACTCATTCTCATTTATCTCCCCATTCGTCATCCAACACTTCATTCATTGAGTTACAATGTTCATCCAATGAAAGAACAGACACTGTTCCCATCCTCTCACCCCATTCCGTTGAATCAACTGCCACCTCAACAGATGGATCCATCATCGATCTTCTTGTTGATTACCAAGGCTAAGACCAAAATTGTGGAGCTGATAATTAATTATTATTTTTCTTGTACTACTTTAAATACAAATAGATTTAGAAAAAAAACATCTATAAGTATTTTTTCCTTACCTTAATGTCATAGATAGTCGTTCTTTTGACGAAATACTTCTACGCATAGTTGTGTCCTTTTTAATTAGTTTGTTTTCCAAAATATTATGAAGTTTCTCAAAGGACTGAATAGACATTCGATAATAATTGAAAAACTTCGATGGATCTTGCAACAAATCTTCATGTAATAAATTATACGTTCCTTTGCTTTCTCTTAATCCCAACATGGGATGAACCCACAAACTACGTCTCCTTTTTAGTTTCTTCTTCTTACTATTTAATAAATACCACACCGCGATACACTCTTCTATTTCCATAATTACAACTGCACTACACTGCGTCTGTTTTGCGTATAACAAGGCGGTATGCGATACAGAAGTAAAAAAGTATCCGGTCGTAATTCTGTATCTCGGATACTGTATCTCGCATACGGTATCCTCGTCTGAAAGGGCTCTTATCCTTATTCAAAATAGGGCGGTTCGACCTGCATCACTCGCTCATCTCACTTTTAACTTTCTCAATAGATTCGAGAAGATCCTGCGGTGTCGTGACACTGACGACGACAGATGTGTCATCCACATAATTAATCATGAAGCCAGACAACTTCAAGTCATTTATGTATACAGTGAAGAGCAGTGGTGCCAGTACTGAGCCCTTGTGCCGCACTTATAATCACGAAATATAGAGTTGACGTACGACCATTGACCTTCGTTTTCAATTTTCTAACTGTGAGGGAAGACTGGATCCAGCTGAGTATAAAATCCCTTATACTACCTAAGCAGTACATTTTTTTTACGATAAGCGAAATATCCATTGTGCTGAATGCTTTCGAAAGGCCCAAAAATATTCCAGCAACGTGTCTGTTTTCATCTAGTCAAAGGTCGCCGCTGGGTATCTGATAAGACATTATAGCGATTGAGAAAACATAATATACGTTTATACAGTCATTTTTCAATGACTTTAGAGATTATCGGTAAACGTGATATTGGTCTGTAGTTTTCAAGGTCTGTACGGTCACAGTTTTTGTATACCGGAATCACAATAGCTAGTTAAAGCATTTCAGGAATTTTCCTTGTTTCACAGATTTATTAATAAGCACTGATAAGGAGAACGATATTTTACGTTTGACAAACTTTATCACCCGCATTGAAATTCCATCATTTCCACTGCTTCTTTTATTTGGAAAGCTACTGATTACTTCCACGATCTCTTCAGTGGTGACATCCCCGTAGAACATTGATGAAGCTACCAGGTTTTATGATGGATATATTGATGAGTCGCCACATTTAAACTGTTCTGCTAACTTGCTCTCTGCTATTGTGGAAAAATACTTGCCAAACTTATCAGTAAGTTCTTTGTCCTCATTTTTTAGCACTATTTGACGCTGTTTCTTTACTCTTCCGGTTTCTTCATTATGCCTCTGGGGACATTTCAAATCAAAATGCCACAGATAAATTGTAAAGAAACCGTTCATATTAAACACTTTCTACGTAATGAACTCTCCAAAAAATGTGTGACTTGTTTTCATGAATTACGAATGTAACTTTTGTGCCGATGTTCATACAGTAAAGGGAGAATTTACTCCTAATTTACTATATTGTAATTAACTATTTTTTTGCTTTTTTCTATGATCTTTTATTGAAATACCCGAAACATTTTATCCTCTAATGCATAGCCTGTCCAGTGCCATATACATACGAGTATACTGTTTGCCACATTACAATATGCATTTTTTTATACGGAAGCAGCGGCGCAGGCAAGCTTAAATGCCAGGACACCGCGGCTGCTATGAGGATCCCAAATCAATTTTGTTAATCCGATTTTTGAACTGCCTGAGGTTAGTAAAACTGGGAAATTCTTACTTGATGAGTTTTCTACAATCTCGACACACTCGGGACTAGGGAGCGGTCGTATCGGCTAGTTCTGAATATACGAAGTTTCACACGGTTAGGATGGGAGGCCGAAGACAGGCGGGTTTGTCTGGCAGGACATCACCCGGCGCCATCATGGAGGACAGCTATGAGGAGCAGTGCCCGTTGGTGTAGCGGTAGAAGAGAACTAGATCGCCGACGGCCGGCCGATGCGAAAGGATCCCGAGACTGTCTGTTAGATAAGAATCATCAGTCAGACATCCCTACCCAGGATAGTATCGAGTATAAACAATGTAGTTGAAGCGGCAGCACCCCAAATGTGTAAACATTACTCGAGGCTGACCCTTGTTTAGAGTGAGGTCATGCGAAGAAAAGTACTTTTTATCCTCGAACTCCTGCATGTAGAGTGCTGTCATCAGTGGTTGATCGTACAGGAGATGAAATCGTTGATATGTAAGAAGAACAATGTCGGAGTCAATATGGATCCCTGGGAAACACCCGCGTTTATGTTGCGGGATGAAGAGAAGAGCCCGTCCATTACGACGTACGAGAGAAAGTCAGCCACCCATCTGCAAATCTTGTGATATCAAGATCAACGACATGGACTTCACCATAAGACTGGACAAGTTTACTCCACAACTGACTGACGTAGGCTAGGAGGTCCCCTGTGGATCGCTGGTGTCGGAAACCATACTGCCAGTCGCTAAACAAGCCGTGACGTTCGACGAAGTCCAAAAGCTCTCAACTTATGTACCTCTCCTTTACCTTACTTATAACAGAAAGCAAAGCTATAGGCCTGCAGTTGTAAGAGTCAGTCTTAGATCCTTTTTTGGGATAGGTTAGCCATAAGAAAATTTCCAGTTTTGCAACTGGAGCAAGGTTCGCTACACACCTCTTCAATACGACAGCAGGAATCAAGTCCGAACCGGAAGCTTTGTTGATGTCGAGCGACAAGAGCACCCGTCTTGCGATCTTATGTCTGAATGTTATTTCCACATAGTGTGAATCGACGGCACTTAGGGACGTGAATGGTGGAGTTGGCAGCAGAGATCTTGGCATCATCTCCGTCTCAGCCTTTGAGTCAGTTACAATTGTTCCATCCTGACACGTAAGTAGTGGAAGGCTACTCTGCGAGAAGACCGACTGCCGTTGCGCTGTGACATTACCCTGTGCCTAACTTTTATGTCGTGCTGGTCTGTGGCATTGCAAACCGCTTCGTTATATGTATCTGTTTCTGGACTTGATGTCCGCTCTCTGTCCTCTACAGTGGGGTCTTGTAAAAAGGTTCTGTGTGCCTTGATCTTCTTTCAGCCGTGCCGCACGATTTGATGGACCCTGGTTCAGGCCTTTTTACTGTATGAGGGATGTATTCCTCCATCCCAACGTGGATAATTCCGGTTATCAAAAAGTTCGACTCAAATTGATAAGAAGTTGAAACGGCACTTCTAAAAAGATGAAATTTATCAGGTACAATGACATTAGATGCATGTATCGATATCAAAGCGCGTGGGTTCCATCCTATTGTTTCAAGCCGCTGCTAAAAATGGTTAATACCACTAACCTTATTTCCTGATAAAGCAACGTGGGTCCATCACAATTATTTGGACTCTTTATATTATGGTTATTAATAATAAGCTAAGAAAGTTATTCGGAATTTGAATCTTTTAGAACACAAATATTATATTGAACCTGAAAAATACATTAAAACTGGTTTGTCTGTCAATGATAAAGTTGTTATTGTCTACTGAAAAATTAAAATTGTTTCGTATGACGTTTTTGCATGGCCGATTTAAATCCAATCACAGTTTACCGTATTGTGCAAGCGACTGTACAGTTTAACTACTTATCAAGCCTACCGTGCATGTTCGAAAAAAACTATATCAATTACATCAATATTTTCGCAGATACTTTTTAAAGTTAAATCATAGAGATAGATGCTCAATAAATAGTTCACAAACATGTGAATGTGTTTGTGTATTTGCTTAATGCGGTAGGCAAAACGCGAAACTATGAAATAATTAGACAATAAATTGCTTTTTTGTTTACATTTGCCATTCGTTGATTCGTCCCTAAATATTTATTTTTCATTTCAGCTTTGTCGATAAACATTTACAAATTAATTAATCTCAACAAAGCAGTTGGATGTGGTATTCGCCCTGTTTTTTTGCTTGATCGTAAATAAACCAGTAACCAAATTATGGTCAATATATTGAATAGGGCTTTTCATGTCCAGCTGTATTGATTTGTACTGGACGTCGCAATAACTAGTTCCGGACTTAAGTTTAGCGCCATTTCTCTACGACTTGACTAAGACATTGTCATTGGCCAAGAGTAACTGTAAGCAACCCTTCTCGTTCATCCAAGGACTTTGTTTGCTAATAAGGGATTTTTTTGTAGAGGGGAACTCGCATTTAATAACAGACCATAGTGGTATAATAATTCATATGATATAGGCGTTGAAGCGCAAAGTTACAAAGTAGCCTAATATTCGAACCAAATAACCTTTAGAAGTGAAATTTCACCTCTCAAAATAGTCTATCACTATGAATAATGGTTCCGGGAACTTATCTTGCGAGTCCGCTCTGGAAGTATGGGACGACTTTAAGTGAGACCCTTCACCTTTCAGTTGCAATAACACCTTGTGCCGCTCCCGCAGAATTGAACTATTGCTAGATATACTGGCTGCAACCTCTAACTGACTCCAATCATGCATTTCAGTCTGACCAGCCCTCGACAAGATGGCAGACCACGGCGCCCGACCTACTTAGCAGGAACTCAATTTATAGCACATGATAACTATGGTCGCGCAAGGTACCGTATAAATCTATCCTCTTAGGTACATTCCCGAAATCAAATTTAGCTTTTTCGTTTAGCACCTTGTTATATAGACTATTCGAAAGCCTTTGAACACATCAATCATAAATTATTACTTGCTAAACTAAATTACATAGGTCTTGAGAGTGTATCCCTTTCAATTTTCGATAGTTACCTTCATCAAAGAACTCAAACAAGAAATGTCTCAAGTGACAATAATTCCCTCAGGCGTACCCCAGGGCTCCATATTGGATCCGCTGCTGTTCCTCATGTATACGTTTGACTTAAGCAAAAGTAATGATAATTCTCATGTCAGTCATTTGCAGACGATACGCAGTTGCTCCATTATTTTAACCTAGATAATGTCAATAATACTACTCAAATTTTACAAAATGATGTTAGTAAATTAATTAAATACTCTTCAGATCACAATCTAATTATTAATCCACAAGAATCTAAAATGCTACTATTTTGCGCACAAAGAAAAACATACAATGTAACACAGCTCTTAAATATTCAGATAAATAACCAAATCTTGCAATTCTCTGATTCTGCAATAACTCTTGGTGTTGTTTTTGATACAAAATTAAGGTTTATTGAGCATGTTAAAAGTCTTTCCCAGAAAACCTACCTACGGCTGCATACTCTTACAGCAAACAGGTATTTACTAAATTTTAAGTTGAGTAAAAAACTATGTGAAGCATTGGTCATATCTATACTAAATTATTGTAATATCGTATGCTTGTTTAGACAATTCCACCAAAAACGTT